GATTTTCTGTCTTCTTGGCATCTCTAATCTTCTGAGCCATTATGCCTCTGGACTCTGAATGACCCTAGGCACCTTAAGGATGTCCCCACCCAGAGGAGGAACTTTACCAACCTTATTGGCTTTTGGGACCCCTTTAAGCCCCAGAGTCTTTGCTATAGAAGTGCAAATCCAACTGACTCAGGGTGTGGTGTGCAATGCTTTTGGGGCTTAGCTGCCACTTCCTCCCCTGGAGGAAACAAAATTTGTGATAACAGTGTGGGTTTGGTTGACAGCTATTACTCAGAGATTGAAAGGCTTGTCTCAATCAGTCACGTGTGTCTGCTCTCTCCATCTATCCACACCCTAGAGCCCCTGGGCCACACAACTACAAGGAAGAAGTAGTCTTCTGTTGTCTGTAGGAATGCCACCCCTGGGAGTTAATGCAATACACAACCAGTGCAGCTGACCATGGCAGTTCCCAGGCAGCCGTCTTTCATGATCACTGTCTGGTTATTGTGACAGCCCCTGTGCTGACTTCCTGTCCCCTCTCATCTTGACTAAACCTCTCTGTGTCATTACCCCAGTCCTTCCCTAAGTCCTTCTCCTTCATCTCACTATAAACATAGACTACAAATACAGGGACCCTGAGAGAAGAATCCCGCCTGTGAGAGGGGTAAGCTGTGTAGTACTGGGCAAACTACTTAGCCTCTCTGAGGCCAGTATCCTTATGTGAAAAATATTGATAAAATGCCTAGCAGATTATACTTGTTTTTACTGTTATTGATCACTAGATTCTGAGCTTCAGGAGGTCAGGGCTATCTCTGATTTGTTTCTGTGCCTCGAGGAATGACCTACTAGGACTGGGTGAATATTTGTTGAAAAAAATGAAGGGCCCTGGGCTGTCCGTTTGACCAGAGCCCACCTATAGCTTATATACGGAGCTCAGTACTTCCTCCTATCTGGTGCTTAGCGTCTCTGACAACAAGGTCCTCCCACCTGTAAGCTGGTGCTCACACCCTCTCCTAAGTGGTCCTCCTGCCTCTGCTGTGTTCACTGGGTGCAGGTTCTGTCCTAGCAGACTTTGCCAGCCCTTCCCTGCACCAGGACACCCCTGTCTAGGCCATTCTCTGTGTTTGGAACACAGGGTCGCCTGGACCATTGCCACGCCCCCTGTGATTCCCTAGAGCTGGGGGTGGGTGCAGAAGCCCTGAAATCAATGACAACTAAGATTCACCCCTGCATTCTGGTCACTTCCACCTTACAGGTGCACCTTCCCAAAGGGAAAAAGGACAGGTACCACAGTGCCAGGCTAGAGGGCATGAATGGCTGCCACCTCCCCAGGTCCTGCCCAGTGTCTAAAGCCTGACTGGGTTTGGGGTAGGTTTGTGTGTGTGGTATGGGCAATCCCAGCACTGAGGGCAAGGCAGGAGGTGGAGAGTTCCAAGGGAGCCCAGGTTAGGAACCAGGAACTTGTCTCCAAACAACAGCCAAAAGATAAGTAAATAAGTGGTCTTTGGGTCAGATGGAGAAGCAACACCGGAGACCCATATGTGACATCTTGGCTTTTGAAAAATGAGCACTTCAAGTTCTTAGGACTGGCTCTAGGACTGGCTCTAGGGAGCAACCAACCATGTCTATCAATCATGGATGGGAGGGGCAGGGTTTCCCTACCTGTCAGAAAGGCCTGAATCTGAAAATAGCCTGCCCTTCCAAATAAGACCTTAAGCAAGCCAGGCAACCTCTCCCAACATCAGCTTGTCTGTGAAATGGGTGCCATCTTGCTGCACCTCTGGGCCTGCTGGAATGGTTCTAGGAGGTACAGCTAGAGCCCTTTCAGTGTTAGCCAGGGAATGCTGGCTCCTGACAGTGAGACATGGTTTGAGAAATGTAGGTAGCTGTAAACATTCATACTTTAGTTCTATTTCCTGTTGACAGGCTCCTCTTTCTCCTATGACTAGCTACAGGTGGTGGCTTTATCCCCAGGTCTGTTTCCCAGTGGCATGTGTGCGTTTGTGTACGCATATATGTCTTATTATGATAGGCATTAGCCCATGGGACTATAAAAAGCAGCACTGTGTTGCAGCTCCCAATGAGGGTGCTTGCTGAGCCCTCCCCTGCCACTTGCTTCCTATAGATTCCTGTCCACCCCAGGCTCTAACAGCCTCTCCACCAGGTTCTTAGTCCCCATTCCTCACAGCCCCACCCCAGAGGTACAGGTGAGGCAGTAACCACAACCCCTACACCCCTCACGAGGTCTCCAACTCAGACAACACCCACTGTCCATACCTCCAGCACCCTATGAACCCTTTAGGTAGTCCCTAAAACACACAGAAAACAAGTACTATGCTACATAGGATATTTCCAGGAACTTGGCGGTACAAAGCATTCTGGGAATTCTTAAGAGCCAGGCGATAGATTGGTTTCCTTGGCACAGAGCCCCTCAGAGCTGTGACAAACCAAGCCCATCTGTACTGTCAAAAGGAATGGGGAGGACATGCAGTGTTTGCACTCAAACTTGACCAGGAAGGCTATTCTTCTCCACTGGAATACACTTTGGGACATGTATAGGGCTTGCTGCCCCTCTTGTGACCTGTACCCATATGTGTGTCCTGGTAGCTGATTAAACCACCCTGTCCATGTGTGCATAAATTCCTACATTCTGACCTCTGGACAATTAATGCATATGCCCAGTCTACTGGACACTCTGGTAGATCACACACTAGGCTTACCTGAGGGGCCTTAAAACCTCCAGATTTAATTGGTTTGCAGTTTCACCAGTTGGGAGTTTGCCAAACAGACTTGGTGGTTTTAAGGTGCAGCCAGCTATATGGTTGGGTGCACAGCAGACAGGGTCAGGGGATCCATTTGAATTTGAAATCTTGGAACAGGTAAGGCCAGAGGAAAACGGGACTGTGTTAAGGCCCCAATGCTGGCTGGTTGCAAGGCCTGAACCAGGAAGAGGCTACTCCATTTGTAGGTGGTAGAATAACTTACACCACACCTACTCCATTTGTAGCTGGTAGAATAACTTACACCACACCATAGCCTGGAAAGTTCTCACCTTGTGTGTGCATCATGGGCACGAGAGATGGAGGGAGGCACAGTCAGAGGACAACTTTGGGGAGTAGGTTCTCTCCTTTTGCCTTTATATGGGTACCAGGGATCAAACTCAGGTCCCCAGTGAAAGGATTCAGGCATTATGCTGGTCTGCCCCTGTCACCTGGCAGAATGCACTCAGGCAGTACCTTGGTCAGTCCAGGGTTCCATGACTATTGGTCTGCATGCAGGTGCTCAGGACCCCTTTAAAAGAAGACACTGCCCACTTTCTCTCTCTCTCTTTCCTGCTGTTCCCCTGGGGCAGACAGGACTGTTCCTGTCTCCCTCTTCTGTCTTCTCTCTGTCTCTGTATCTCTTTGCCTCTTTTCTCTTTTCTTCCCCTGCTTCCCTTTCTAAT